TTCTATCTATGTATACCGGTAATGCAGATGTAAAGCTACTTGTTTATCCATATCTTGAAGAGAACACACAGATTTTGATAAAAGAAACAAAACTACATCTTATTATCATACATCCAAATGTACTAAAAATTATAAGCAATCAGAAAAACATCAAGTTCCAAACACTTTACTAAACAGCTAAACCAAGCAGTAATTTGAAAAGACTAAAATGTAAAATTTCTCTATTAAAGAAAAAATACAGATACAAATTTTGGTAATATAAAATGAAAAAGAAACACCACAAAAATATATTTTTTAGTTACTTTTAGAGAAAAATAAAATGGTTATGATACAGCCTTAGATTCAAAGACAAGTGTCTTAGTTCTTTAACTTGGAATTTACAGTGTAAACAAATAACCTTGTTATACTATTATAAAGTAGGAAGGTAAAGTAGCATAATCCAACACGGGACTTTTTACTGAAGTTTGTATGTTTGTTGTGAATAAAACTATACTAGTTATATTGAATTTATAGACTAAGAGGAAGGCATCAGGTCAACAGTTCCTACTGCCAACTCTTATGTTATTGTTATCAAATATTGGGATTTGACTGTCACTTTTATAACAAAGCCATGGTCCAAAAGTAAGGAGTGTCATCTTGTAAAAACAGGACCATGAACCCTCAGAATCAAAGCCTGGCATCCTAGTCACTAGACCACACCCAGCCCATTTCCTCTAAAGAAATTTACTATTTTCAAAAGTAAAACATTCATTATCTTGTAACATTTATACCTCCAATTTACTTGCAATAGGCAATTTTATTCATAACTATCACACAGAACTAGGCTAATGTAAAATATCTGTAAGAACAAACTCCTGTTTGAACTCTTTGGTTACTGAAAGGAAAACATAAGCTCCATTAAATTAATCTGATCAGTGTCTACTGTGCAGACTTAAAAATTAACCTTTTCCCCATTCACTGGTGGTTCTCACTTTGAGTAAAACTTAAACCTGTAGTAGAAAGGTTAACACTCCCTATTCACTGGTGGTTCTCACTTTGGGTGAAACTTAAACCTGTAGTAGAAAGGTTGACTCTCCCTATTCACTGGTGGTTCTCACTTTGGGTGAAACCTAAACCTGTAGTAGAAAGGTTAACTTTCCCTATACACTGCCTGTTCTCACTTTGGGTGAAACCTAAACCTGTAGTAGAAAGGTTAACTTTTCCTATACACTGGTGGTTCTCACTTTGTGTGAAACCTAAACCTGTAGTAGAAAGGTTAACTTTCCCTATACACTGGCTGTTCTCACTTTGGGTGAAACCTAAACCTGTAGTAGAAAGGTTAACTTTCCCTACACACTGCCTGGTTCTCAATTTGGGTGAAACCTAAACCTGTAGTAAAAAGGTTAACTCTCCCTATACACTGATGGTTCTCAATTTGGGTGAAATTTAAACCTGTAGTAGAAAGGTTAACTCTCCCTATACACTGGTGGTTCTCAATTTCGGTGAAATTTAAACCTGTAGTAGAAAGGTTAACTCTCCCTATACACTGGTGGTTCTCAATTTGGGTGAAACCTAAACCTGTAGTAGAAAGGTTAACTGTTTTTTTTTCAGTTTTACCTACTAATGATTGTCTTGAATCAATGAAAATGATCAAACATTTTAAAATATATTGTAAAGAACTACATGCATTTCTAATTAAGTTATAATTAACAATAAAGATGAAACTGTAAGATAAACCAGTTAAGGAATACACAGTATACATACCCAGGTAAGTGTTTGGCAACAAAAATGTGGTCATTGTATATATGTAGCTTAACACCCTTCTTCCTCCATTTGCTGCGATTAGCAAGAGATGAGGGAACCACGTAATGCCTAATTAATGGATTGAAAAACTCTGAGCCATTATTTTACATTAATTATTATTTATAGACCTCTTTAAACTAGGGTTCTATAGTCATGTCAGTATTAAAATATATTCAGTAACATGAAATACACATCAGACTAAAACAAGAAATCATTACCAATATTACATTATTTACTAAAAATATGTTACCTAACTGTCATGAATAACATTAAAACACTGGACATTTCTTCCCTCACTTTCATTACATAAGACAATCAGATCCTCAAACAGGAAACTCAATTTCCAATTTTTTTTTATTCAACCTAAAATCTGGGATTCTTAAGCCAACATTGATATTGTTGTTTTCAATCTGAATGGCATCAGGTTAGAGACTTGTAAGGTTCACATTTTACTTTTCATAATTTTTAACCTTTATCACCTCCACCCATATATTTACACATGCTTATACATCATCTCCACCCATACATTTATGCCAATTATGGTAATGGAAAAAAAAAACCCTTCCATTGATGATACAGGGTTAACTAGTGACCAAATGGAAAGCATCCAGTCAACAGCACATATCACAAGAACTTTGTCTGACTTTCAACTGATTTACCATCACTTTCGTAGCACAGCCACAGCTTAAAGTGAAATATGTGTTTAACATTTCATGGCACAAACCTTGGAACTTCTAATCCTCAGCCCTGAACACTAACTATTATGCCACATTTGGCCATATAAAAGAATGTTAAAAAAAAGGCAAAACATGTAGTTATATATGTTTTCAAACTTTTACTCACCTTTCAATGTAACAACTGATTCTTTTACAATTTCTATATCCATTAAGCAGATAACTGAGTTTCAGAATGGATAAGTAATTTATAATGTTTCTATACACAAGAAGCAAGACGTGCTTTTCAATTTTCCAATCTTAAGAAACTGTAATAATATTAAATTATAAAAAACAAGTATCATCAGTAAATTCTGCTTTTGTTTCAGAATAATGTGTCGTCATGAGTTTTAGCCAAACTCATAAATCAACTGACATGGGAAGACCCGTTTCAATATTCCAATAAAAAAGGACACTCACTTTAAGACACCATTCTCATTGGTTTCGACCACAAGTGTCGATTTCTCATGTATATAAGTACGTGACGACGAGGCACTGAGGCCAGAACCCTCACTTATGCTACTTCGAGCACTGCTGTGTCCTTCACGATCTATCAAAAAGAAGAGAATATTTATTAAAACAATCAAAATAAAGTACTGTGTTGCTCCATACACAATACAAATAAACATAAATTTACAGCACATCAAAAGAAGTGCTTTCTTGAAATGTGTAGTAACTACCCTCTGTCATACGTGCTGTAACGATTATGTTATTTACATTGACTTTTTCTTTTTTTTTACTAAAACACGTCAAATTTTATATTGGTTAGTTTTATTCAAAATATTGATGCAATTCACATAATAAAAATGTAAATTAAGTGTGAACATTTATTACATAGATCATGGAATTTTTTCTTTAACTATTAAATAATTGCTTTCTTTAAAAAAAAATGTCTGAAGCTAAATAAAGTTTTAAGCTTTTGCTTCATTTTTCTATGAACAGTTGAAAGAAACATGTGCCATTCAGGAGATTAACATGTCCCATCAATCATTCAAAGTGTTTTAACATAAGGCTGCTTATGCAACTAAACACAGACAGAATGAAATGTCAATACAAAAATTATAGACACAGATTTCAAACATGTGCCATTCAGGAGATTAACATGTCCCATCAATCATTCAAAGTGTTTTAACATAAGGCTGCTTATACAACTAAACACAGACAGAATGAAATGTCAATACAAAAATTATAGACGCAGATTTCAAACATGTGCCATTCAGGAGATTAACATGTCCCATCAATCATTCAAAGTGTTTTAACATAAGGCTGCTTATACAACTAAACACAGACAGAATGAAATGTCAATACAAAAATTATAGACACAGATTTCAAATATTCTTTTACTACATCTGTATTTTAAAACACTTGTGTTGAATATCAAATCATAATATTAAGCTAATCAATACCTACTTAAGTTTGGCACACCTAGCAGACTATCCCCAGCTGAAAGAATGAAAAAACAATATTAAAAGTGTATTTCATTATTGTGGATAAACCATAAAGTCAAAGCACAATGAACACTAAACTGTATTTCATTCTAAGTATGAGTCACTTTTAAATGGAGTCTTTTTTTGTCTATTAATACGTTTTAAATACAACGACAATTTAGTAAAAATTGAATAATTGTGTTTTTTTTTGTGTATTGTAAAAGATCCCTACTAACTTAGTATGCTAGGTTATGGTTAGATTGGGAGTCGTATAAAGTCACATCACACTCTTCTATCAATATTTTGAACTCTAACAGCTTTCACAGAAAAGTTAACAATTACTTTCCATTTTAGCTAGGGTAGAGGGTAGCTAGATACTCTACACAAGTTGGTAATAACTCCCTAAAATTATATTTTTAGTCTAATTCCACAGAAAATTTAGTTGTTGTAAATTGTAGTATTTCTAAACTCTATTAACGATTACTTATAGATATAATGAAACATCCTATCATCTGAAAAAAAAAGGCAAACTTGAAAAACAAAAAAATTCTGTAGAACTAATAAATACATTTAGTAAATACAAAAAAATGAGGTCTGTAGTCAAAAAAAAAGTTTACCTTTCATTTAAAGGGTTTGGAGACTCAAAATGCAAAGACGATTTACGAACAAGTACATAAAAAAAATTTTATTTTGTAAAGCACTCATTCAAACATATCCAAATAACGACAAAATTAAGTTCATTTACATTTAAAGGAGAGAAGCATCATACACATACAGGTAGGTTTCTATACAATAAAAGAAACACATACATTGTTAAAAGCATGGAGAAAATTAGCAGTAATTCCAGATTTATACAACTTTTACTCAGTAGGTAAGAGATTTAAGGAAAGATCTGTACATTACATTGTATATATATCTAAATGCTCTATACATTACTAATTATTGTAAAAAGTTTAGTTTCTACTAAAGTAACTGTGTACAATTTTTTACTGTTATATTATACTGGTTAGGTTTAAATACTACATATAATTAACAGTGCTACATAAAGTAAAAGAATCAAGTTGATATGTCTGGTTGCTAAGTGCAGGAGAAAAAGGCATGTCAAAACTACATCCACAGATAATGGAAGGGGTTTAGTAGAAATAAGCTAATGTGACATCCTATGTAAGTGCACATGTAATTCAGATGAACGCTGAATATGATGTCACAAGTACAGAACAAATATCTCACTTTTAGATCATTGTTTTTCTAATCACAGTTGTTTATAACATAACAGAACATGATCATAATACAAGTTAGTTCTATTAAAAAGTACCATACAAATCATACACTTCTATACAAAATAAATACCACTGCAACAGAATTGATATGAACTGAAATATTCTAAAACATTTACTTGAAAGATATTAATCAAGTGTTATTTCAATGAATTTGAAGAATTAATGAGAGCACATGTACATAAACATGTGAAAAATTACTTTTAAGTTATGTCACTTGTAATAAAGCATTAGAAAAAGTTATACTCGTATTATAATGATGAAGGGAAGAAAACAGACAAAAATATGTGTATTATTTTATCAAAATATTTATAACTGTGAGGTAAATAAGTTTGAAAAAACAATACAACAGGAATATATTTAACATTAGTTAAACTGTTAGTTTTGTGCTGTAAACTGGTTTTGTGACATAAGTGTAAACCTTCAGGAACATACTATAACATTAAAGACTGTTAGTTTTGTGCTGTAAACTGGTTTTGTGACATAAGTGTAAACCTTCAGGAACATACTATAACATTAAAGACTGTTAGTTTTGTGCTGTAAACTGGTTTTGTGACACAAGTGTAAACCTTCAGGAACATACTAAAACATTAAAGACTGTTAGTTTTGTGCTGTAAACTGGTTTTGTGACATAAGTGTAAACCTTCAGGAACATACTATAACATTAAAGACTGTTAGTTTTGTGCTGTAAACTGGTTTTGTGACATAAGTGCAAACCTTCAGGAACATACTATAACATTAAAGACTGTTAGTTTTGTGCTGTAAACTGGTTTTGTGACATAAGTGTAAACCTTCAGGAACATACTATAACATTAAAGACTGTTAGTTTTGTGCTGTAAACTGGTTTTGTGACATAAGTGTAAACCTTCAGAAACATACTATAACATTAAAGACTGTTAGTTTTGTGCTGTAAACTGGTTTAATGGTATAAGTGTAAACCTTCAGGAACATACTATTACATTAAAGAGACTTTTATGTATTTTAATGTATTTGTAAATCAGACACTTTCTTGAAAAACAATATTGTGAAAGTTGATTTTGCGTTACTGACCTGAACGTCTATCGGATGGCATTATCCGAGAGCCAGGAACTGATCTGGATCGGTCTGAGGAAAAACTTCTACTGCTTTCCCGACTTATACTCTCTTCACCCTTGGCCTTTTGTTCCACTGACTTTGACTGGTTTTTTCGAAAGCTTAGTCTCTTCCTTAAAGTTCCAATGAAAGACTTTCGATCTCTTGTTCTTCCTCTTTCCGCTGAAGAAAATAACACTTTGAATACTTGTCATAATAAAGCATTTATACACTATAAATAGACCAAGAACACACAGCAGAACTGATTAACTGAACAAGTGCACAACTTGGTTCAACTTTAAAATGAATCAACATAAAACTTTGGCCAAAGATGTATGTATTCCAAAATTAACAAACACTGCTCTACTTTAATTTCAAAGTTAAATTTAAAATGTGATTGGTTATCATCCAACCAATCAAAAAGTGTCAACACAACTATAAAGTCCTTAAGTGTATAGGCATTCATACCATGCCCAGTAGTAGTAGTGTGATTCCAGTTATTGCTCTCTCAGGACTGAAATACCATATTATAAACATGTAGAAGCCAAAGTTTTGGCTAGTAAGGAATACTCCGTGTAAAAACTTATTGCAAACTTCATGTTTTCACAGGAGCAAATTTCTAAAGAGGATGGGTGAAAATGACCATGAATGTTAATAACAGAAGTGGTCAAGGTTGAAGATAGAAATTCTCAGAGTACATTCCATAAAAGATTGATAATAGTCAGATACAGATCTAGCCAACAACTCTGCTGTAAATACACGTGTGAATATTACCTCAAGAACAGTAAGATTACACATTAACATAAAGTCATCTCAGTGGATATGTAGCTGTTTAAAAATCTCTGCTGGGATAAGGTAAGCAAATGAAAGCAAAAGTTGAAATGGGCATCCAATCATATACAATGGAAAGAGAAAGCTAGAGATTTCTGCTCTTTAGAGATGAATCCAATGTCAAATAATTCAGTAACAATCAAGAACAGTTTGTTCAATGGCAGAGAAGAAATCTGTATTATAGTCAATGTACAACATTTAAAGGGAAGCATGGTAGGAGGATCAGAACAAATTTTGGGCAGTACCACAGACAATGGAGAGAGAATCAGAACAAATTTTGGGCAGTATCAAAGACAATGGAGAGAGGATCAGAACAAATTTTGGGCAGTATCAAAGACAATGGAGAGAGGATCAGAACAAATTTTGGGCAGTATCAAAGACAATGGAGAGAGGATCAGAACAAATGTTGGGCAGTATCACAGACAATGGTGAGAGGATCAGAACAAATGTTGGGCAGTATCAAAGACAATGGAGAGAGGATCAGAACAAATTTTGGGCAGTATCAAAGACAATGGAGAGAGGATCAGAACAAATTTTGGGCAGTATCACAGACAATGGTGGAGGATCAGAACAAATTTTGGGCAGTATCACAGACAATAGTGGAGCATCAGAACAAATTCTGGGCAGTATCACAGACAATGGTGGAGCATCAGAACAAATTTTGGGCAGTATCACAGACAATGGTGAGAGGATCACAACAAATTTTGGGCAGCATCACAGACAATGGTGGAGCATCAGAACAAATTTTGGGCAGCATCAGAACAAATTTTGGGCAGTATCACAGACAATGGTGAGAGGATCAGAACAAATTTTGGGCAGTATCGCAGACAATGGTGAGAGGATCAGAACAAATTTTGGGCAGCATCACAGACAATGATGGAGCATCAGAACAAATTTTGGGCAGTATCACAGACAATAGTGGAGCATCAGAACAAATTTTGGGCAGTATCACAGACAATGGTGTTAGTGATCTACACAAAACTGATGGCACACTGACTGCCAAGAAGTACAAGCACACTCTGATCTATCATGACATTCCCTCTTGAACACACCTAACTGTGCAGGAATTCATCATCCAGCAAAAAGCATATTTTGTGAAATTTATATATTTATGGTAAAGCGGCTGATGGAAAAGTCACAACCATGGTTTGGGCCTGCACAAACTCTTGATATGAGCATTGTTGAACTAATGAAACAATTTGGCTGGATTGTGAGGAATAGTAGTAAATCAGAATATTTGAAAAAAAAAATTTCATAATCATACATTGATAAGCTATACGGCAGCATGAAAACAAAAAACAAAGTGTAATTCTCTGTTTAAAGTAAAGGATTGGCATATAATAATTAGTACATCATACATCTTAATTGGTTCTTTTTTATATTTTCTGTGATTATGTTTGTACTATTAATATCTTCACCATCTACCTGCCATTACTTTTTGTTTGTAGCTCCTCTATATATGTGATGCTTATAAGTCTCCATAGTTATTCCCATTAATGCATGTTCTTTATATTTCCATAATTATTTCCATTAACTTATAGTTTTTGGTGTTTCCATTATTATTTACACTAATGTATATTGCTGTATGCTTCCATAATTATTTCCAAAAATGCATTATCTTGTGCATTTCCATAATTATTTCCATTAATGTATATTCTTCACGAAACATATATCTGAGAACTAATTAGTGATAAAATACCTCAACAAAACTAATTTTTTACCTTCTTCTTTTTCACTTGCGGAGGACGATATACTCTCTCCTGTTGCAGTATTCCCGCTCTTGGAAAGAGTGCTCGAAGGTGAAGTTGTACTACTATCTGCCATTCCCTCAGGCTGGAGAAATAAAACACAGTACAATATGCTTGCAATATAAATATGTAGTTCTAGCAGGAAAATTTTAAAAGGAAACATGTTTTTATAATAATAATAGATGAGTTTGATGGAGACAAAGATGAGAATATTAGACAAAAACAGTTTTGGCATAATACGTCTATAAGTTAAATTCCACATTAATTGCAAGAAGTATTATACATTATTGGCTTGGTTGTCAAATAAAATGCCCATTTGATTTTCTCGATTTTCTAAAAATTTGAAGCTTAAGCAGGACAGGATCTGAGCCTGTTTCTACACTGTGTGGTTTAGGCTGAACTAAATAACTGTAACTGCCATAACTTTTATTCTATGACTTTTGTACTGGTGAGATCTACTGAAATCAATTAGGTTTATTGAAAGTATATCACATTATGGTATACAATTTTGTACTGGTGAGATGTACTGAAATCAATTAGGTTTATTGAAGTATGCACATTATGGTATACAATTTTGTACTGGTGAGATGTACTGAAATCAATTAGGTTTATTGAAGTATGCACATTATGGTATACAGTTTTGTACTGGTGAGATCTACTGAAATCAATTAGGTTTATTGAAGTATGCACATTATGGTATACAA